GCCTCCTCGGCTGACGAGGAGGAACATCATCTTCTCGGGCAGCCCGCTCCCCGCCCCGCCGTTCGCCCGTTACCCGCGTACAAAACGTGAATATCCGCCCGCCTACAGAAAAACCCCGGGGAAAACCCACAAAATAGACATAGTTAAGGTGTTAGAGGGGTTTGGCCCCTGTTTTGGGGTCACCAATAGCAGGCTGCTGCCCGCTGTCCGTCTCGAGTACGTTCACCTCAGGCCTCCTGATGGCTCTGCGCCCATCATCTGAGGGAACCCAGGGACAAAGCGCGGCGTGGCCGTGGACCCCGACGGTTAAGCGCGCTCAGGTGCCTGGGTGGGAGGAGCTGGCTGTAGCCCCTACCGAGGCCTGTCCGCCGCACCGCCCTGGGAAAGGGCTGGCTGGGTTTTAGGGGGCCTCTGGACACAGCCCTTTGGGTCGGCGCTTCCTTCCAGCTGCGTGGGCTGGATCCACCGGCGCCGGCAGGACCTCCCACCCTCCTTCAAACACCTGTCTTTTGGGGCTGACAGCTCATTTCCCATTCCCGAGGCTACGTAGAACATTCCCCACAGAAAGCGCCGACAGGGAAAGGTCAATTTGCTCCTCAGCACCTCTCCCGCTCCGAGCCAGCGAGGGCTCCTGGCGCAGGGGCCTTTGGGCAAAACCCAGGCTTGGTGCCCTCCTGGGCAGCTGCGGAGCATTGGTTCCATCGGTTACGACGCGAGGAAGGGCTCCTGGCTGCATGAGGGTTTACAGTATTGGTCTCATGCGGTTGGCACACCCCAGCCCGGTGCCTGTCCGCTGCTCCTCACCTCCCTGGGGCTAGCGCCTGCCTTTGTGGGTGTTTTAAATGCCATGGGAAGGTAAATTTAACTCGCAGTGTGCACTTCTTTGAAATTACCTCTCCCTTTTTTAACTGGGCTGTAACCTCACGCCAGCTTCCTGAGACAAGATGCGCTGCAACGCAATGCGTGTGTGTACATAGAAATGTTATTTCCCCAAGCTGAAAAAACAGTTAACAAGCTGTTTCATGGTTATATATCTGGAGAGGAAGAAACGATGGCAATCATCTGGCATCCAACCTAGAAGAAATCCGTGCTGATTGAAAGACTCTTAGGACAGCGAGACAGAGTGCCTGATGACAGATCATGTTTTATGTTCAAGATGCTTGGCACGGAAGACAGGTCAGAAAGCAGTTTTAGAGCACTGGATTTCAGAAACAGTTTTTTGCCAGAGAGACCAGAAGGCTGGAAGGAACAATTAGAAAAGTTCGTTCTTTGAAAAGTTACTCGACATTTAAACTGGAGAAAAATCCTCAGAGGACGGTCGCCCCCCTCCCTGGCACTTGTTACGGGAGATGAATGCAGTGGAGGGGCAGAGCAAAGCCCCAGACAGTTACGCTTTTTTAGTCCGTTTGAACCAAGCCACCTGCAGAGATCGCTAGGCCACCGTAAGCAATGCTTGCTGGCACCCGCGTGTCCTTGTCTCCACCACTGCACTTCCCTGCAGCCACCGACTGACAGACGTGAACCACTCCCGAGCACGGCTTTTATTCCATTTTGCTCAAGGCAACCTCGCCAAAGGCAAGCCAGACACCCGGCCGGGGCGAGCCGTTGGCAAGCCCCTCCGCGCTACAACCGAATGGCCGCGCGCCATGCCTAGCCCTCCGGGTCCCAGGAGGACCTGGGTAAAAATATTGCAATAATTTCTTCCTTTCGTTCATTTGGAAGACTGAGGGAAGATGGGAGGAAACTAGGTAAAACTAAATATATTGGGAATGGTTAGTGTTCTGTTTGTTCTCCCTGGAGCAAAAGGAATAGTCTGGCATCCTTGTGAGGTCTTGTCCAGTTCTATCTCCCCTGATCTTACAAAACGAGGGAGAAACATTTCTCGACATTGTTTTCTGGGCCACGATCGATAAAATCTCAGAACTTCTTAGGGCTTACAATATAAAAGGCTGGTTTACTGCTTTGCTATCTATATAGTGTTACTGAACAAAGAAAATGAGATGGAGAGTAGCAATTGCTAAATCTTTTAAATAGAAAAAGAGTAATCAAAGAAGATTTTGCTAATATATTTGAAAGAAGTTATATTGGATGTGTATGAGAACAAAAATGCTGGGAAAGAAGATTACGGGACAATGACATTGCTTCAGGCACTTTTCTGGATACAGACGGATGCGCAGAGCTCTTGGATAACCGAGCTGCTTGTTCAGAGCCTGGAGCCTGCAAGCTGGAGTTTCAGAGGTCTAATGAAGAATCAAGGAGCTGATGTATATCAGTTTAAGTATTTCAGTACTTAATTTAGCATGAGAATTCAGGGTAGGACGAAATACTGCAAAACGTTCCACATGAACAGGTGAAAAAACTGTTTTTTCAAAATGAAAAATCACGTCTGTCTGCCCGAGCTCTCCGAGCACTGCTCTGGCTCTGGGTCAAGCGGGACAGTGGCCGTGAAGGACCGCAATGGCTCATTCCGTAAGCAGAGGAGTGCATGTTGTAAAGTTCCTGTCGGTCTGACACCTACTGTACAAGTACAGAGACAGAGGCTGTGTTTTTAAATTTAGGGTGTCCTAATGACTTCCAGATACCTGAAAACACTTTATTCCCTGTTTCAAAACTGTCCACGCTTGGGGAAGAGGGTACGCGGGGCTCAGCGAGAGCTTTTAGAAAGGAAAGAGGCTGGAACACCAGAACGTTGTCTGAGAGACCAGAAGTACTGTTTGCATAGCTTTCAGGGTGGTTGGTGTGAGTATTTTTTATTTATTTTAAGCGGAGTGGAACCTGGCTTTGAATTTCTGTGACTAACATTGAAGAATATTACAATATACCTCCTTAAGGAGCCTGTTTCTGAAATGAGATGTATTTTCATCCTACTACACTATTAGCAAAATATTTGTATTGTTCTAGAAAAATGTACAAAGAGAGGGTAGTTTAAGGGATTAAAGTTCATGTTTCAAGTATCTTCATTATACTTAAGCCAAGCAAAATTTGACTTTGTTTATTAGAACAACTCTATCCAATAAAATCTACTAACGCGTCTGATGTCAAGTAAAAAGCGGTACAAAAACTACTCAAAAGATACAAATTTGTAGCACTGAGGAAGAGAGGGACCAAAACACGTCCTTTCTTGACCTAAATTTCATTTGAGATACACGAGATAGTTGCAACATCTAGAACACAGAACAAAAAGGGTAAATTCACTAAAACCAGTGAAGTTTGATGAAAGCACTGACACTGTGTGTTTTCCACTGTAGGAGGTTGATGTATTCAAGGACTGTCAAGAAATATTGACAAAACTGGCACAGAAAATCAGTCAGCAGCTGGGGTACGAATTTCTATTTAACTCCTGTTTGAAAGGTAGGAAAGCCGGATTCAGTTTTGGCTGGTGCCTAACTACAGATCGAGGGTAGCGAGGCAAAATCAGAGACTTCGCCTGTCGGCTGCTCACTGCCCGCCACTTCTCCTTCTTACCAACGACAGAATTCGAAAGTTAAACTGGAGAAGAGTTAGAGTCTTACCTAGAGTCTAGGTAAAACTAGTAAGATAAGTCTTACCACTTAAAGATGACTGTGGCTCAATTTTTAAAGTCTTATTAATCTGAAATTCTTCATTAAAATTAGGCACAACAAAATTATAGCTTAGTTGTGCCCATGTTGCTATATGGAACATTGAAGTTCAAAGCGATTTTTTTTTTTTTTTAATCACAAAACTGAATTCAAAGGAAAATTATTATTGACATAAGAAACAGGAATCTAAGCACATCATAAGCTACGAGTTATGGAATGGACTTAAGTTATTTTAATGTATATTTACATCTGTTTTTGTTATGGGAGGCTTTGGAATTTATTTTCTTTCTTTGAGAGTACACAAATATCCTAGTAAATTCAAATTGTATTTAAGTCTTGCCATTTAATTAGGGAAAACTATTCTGAACACAGTCTGCTCTGTTAACTACACAGAACTGACAAGTTTTAAAAGTCATGTTTATACAACATGGCATGATTCTCAAAAGAAAAAGTCTAAGTGCTCACACACAAGGAAGATAAAATTGTAGTTCTTGATTATTACATTACAGCAGAAAAAGAGATAAGTAGATTTTATAAAAGATTGCTCTCATAAATGGCACTCTGGACTTGTGTGAGTCAGGTTAGATGCATTTGTGCAGTTCGTCCCACTGCTGTGACATAAAAAGCTACATTCATACCTGGTGGCATGAGCGTTGCCTAGCTGGCGCTTCTGGTTACCTGGGAGTCAGTTCTGCCACCACATCAGGCAGACCGATGGTAATGCCGGTTGGCACCAGTAATGCTTGTAAAACTGTCAGGATGTCTGCTGTCTTCCTGACGCGCTGGAAAGCGAGGCTTTGATTCTTTCTTCATGTGTGTTACTCCCGTTCTAGCCCAAGGTCTGCCAGGCCTTCCCCCCTTTTGGAAGGGCCAAAGGAGATTAAATTACTCCAAAAAAAAAAAATCCTTGTGGGTAAGAAAGCAGAGATGGAGCAACATGTTTCCCTCCTTGTGATCAAGATGAGCAGAAACATTTCAACATTACAATTTTCCAGTGACGTGCAATTTGAATTACGTTATGTGAATTTGTTCCCCAAATCGGGCGAGATGGGAAGCCACAACTCCGGTCTGCCCTTCTCTTTCTCATTTACAGCTTTGCTGGCATGAAGGTCTCCCTTTTGCTCGGAGGCTTTCCTTCACGCTACGCGACAGCCACTTTTTCACCCCTGTGGTTGTCTGTCACTGAAATGAGAAACGTTATTACGTCCAGTGAGCTAAATGCAAGGCTTTGGGGAATGCTCACTAGAGGCTAGAAGGGACGAGTGGTACAGCAGCTCCCTCTAGCTAAATTACAGCACCAAGCGTTTTCACTTCGCTAAATGCCAACAAACTACAAAATGAAGCTAATGAAAGCAATTAGCTATTTAGCACAACTGCATTAAAGGTGCTTCAGATTAAGGTAAGTCTTTCTCCTTCACAGCATCAACAGAGATGCACATCATGCCCTGGAGCAGGATCTTTCTGACAAAAACTCAGCCCGTTTTATTGATGAGAAGTGCTTTAACCTTAGGAACACCAGACAGCATCAGCTTTTACTGTGGAGTGGAGAAAGCAGATGGGACGTGAGTATGAGCGGCTGTTGTAGCCTTCCCCCGCCGCGCTGCCTGCTGCGAGCGCCCGACGGCAGCAGAAGTGCTCGCCTTTTCTTTGAGAAGTGATACAGAAAGAAGGGGCTTCTCTCTCTGTATCGCCCTGGCTTTCCACGGTGTGAAACCCTCTGTCACCCTCCATTATTCCCTGCCTCCTGACAGCTGCCATTGCTGGAGGCCAGGCAGAAGCTGGTGGTCTGCAGCATGAGTGTGCAGTGAGCTGGGTTTCTCAGCAAGGACGACCGTTTACAGCTGTGCTGCAGCTGACTCCTTGACCTCAAACTCCTTTGGGCAGCTGCCTCCCCCTGGCTTTGATTTACACTGTTCTGTGGCCTTCGGGTTTCACAGAATCACAGAATGGTAGGGGTTGGAAGGGACCTCTGTGGGTCACCCAGTCCAACCCCCTGCCAACTTGTCCAGGTGGGTCTTGAATATCTCCAGAGAAGGAGACTCCACAACCTCCCTGGGCAGCCTGTGCCAGGGCTCCGTCACCCTCAGAGGGAAGAAGTTCTTCCTCATGTTCAGCTGTAACTGCCTGTGCCTCAGTTTGTGCCCATTGCCCCTTGTCCTGTCACTGGGCACCACTGGAAAGAGTTTGGCCCCGTCCTCCTGACACCCACCCTGCAGATACTTAGAGGCATTTCTAAGGTCCCCTCTCAGCCTTCTCTTCTCCAGGCTGAACAAGCCCAGCTCCCTCAGCCTTTCCTCGTAGGAGAGATGCTCCAGTCCCCTCCTCATCCTCGTAGCCCTCCGCTGGACTCTCTCCAGTAGCTCCTCATCTTTCTTGAAGTGGGGAGCCCAGAACTGGATGCAGTACTCCAAATGGGGCCTCACTAGGGCAGTGTAGAGGGGAAAGAGAACCTCCCTCGACCTGCTGGCCACACTCCTCCTAATGCATCCCAGGATACCATTGGCCTTCTTGGCAACCAGGGCACACTGCTGGCTCATGGTCAACCTGTCAAAACCACATCCAGTCAAATCAAAATTCAGTGAAGGTGTGCCATTGAGTGCAGTGTGGCAAACAGCAGGCAGGTGTATGCTGAGGACTGTATATATTTTCTGTAAAAATAGCTTGGGTTATTTCTAAAGTAGGTCATCCAGCTATACAGAGATGTGTGTTAAACAGGATGATCAACAAGATTTGGCTTTAGCTTTACAGGCTGAACTAAAATTACTAAACTAAAACATCCCAGCTGTATACGGTTTTAAAACTATTTGTTAGCAGTGGCCTCATCAAGCCCTGCATCCAATCCCAAAGCAATAGCAGAAGCAAAGCAGCTCGCAATAGAGGGCAGTGTTTTTGTACTAATAACTTGTTAGTTCCCTTATCGCTCTAACATAACAGTATTTGAATGGTGGAGGTACTCAACAATCTCAAATAAGAACAACTCTATCTAGTTGGAAGGAGAAAAAACAAATAAAAATCAGTATGATTTGTTTATTTATGGTCTACTTTTCATTAAAAGATCACCTCATTCACTACTGAAACGAGGGCATATCCGAAGGAAACTTGGCAGGCGTTCTGCTGACTCTAGTAACACTACCTACTTTTAGGATTAGCAACGAGTAAAATCATTCTTGTCAGCTCTGGTAAAATGCAGATTCATGTGGATAACTTTTACAGCCCTTTTCCTTTCTCACCAACCATTATCCAAAGAAATGCAATTTTTCATTAACATTTTCTGAGACCATTTGGCAGACCAAGACATACCTGCAGCACTTGAGAAATGAGCAGGTGGTTTCTGCCTCGACAGAGCCAGCCGGATAAATTGCAGTCTGAAAAAGGAATGTTAAAGAACAGATTAAGTGCTAAGTATTTCAGACAGTGAAGATGGAAACCAACTTGGAAATTTAATTTTCTGATGAGAATATGAACGTAATGATCAGACCATAGATAGAAGGAAAAAAAACAAACCCAAATACCCTGGAGAGAGTGCACGGAGATTGTCTGGATCAGTAGCTGTAAGTAACGTCAGCTCAGGTTTAGTACACCGATTTATGCACTTTACTATGGTATCGTGTCAGTTACCTGAAACTGCCTAAATAAATGGCTGGCACTAAGGAATTCCAAATCATTTAGGAAGATCAGTACTTCAGCTTGGAGAGAGGAATACCCTACGAAAAACGGAAAAAAAAGGGCCCTGAGAAAACAAGCACTGACAAACCCAGCTTTTTCTTTTTTCATCCCTTAATATTTATTCTTAGTGCTCAATTAAAATCTAAAGTAAATATAAAACTCAATAAATAGCAACCTGTCCCTGCAGAGTTTAACATACAGGCGTAATCCTTAGGAGGGAGTTTTGTGTGGAGAAGGAAATCTAAATGCAGGAAGAAGTTTGTCTCAGTGTTTCAGTTCGGAAAGTAAAATACCTGTACCTTTTCATGAAATGAGCTAACTATTTCTGGGTGAAGGGAGAAGGGACCTAGCAGGCTAAGCAATGCAGTAAAGAAGGTGCTGAATTTTAATCCAAAGAGAGCAGCTTATGCTGCACCAGTTTTCAAGCCAGGGGCTCAGGCTGCTAGTTTAGGGCCCTGCAGATTCTTGGTTTAGGAAAGATTTTAATCTGGGATTTACATTCATAATCATGTTAAGAATGATAATGAAAGCCATCTGTTGAGCTTGGACAAAAAAAAAGTTTCTTTACATACAGAACACTGCATCAAGAACATTAAAGTGTGGCATTTTTCGGTGCAGGAGCCCTATATTCCGTCTTTCTCTGTATATTCATAGGCTTTCCCATAGCGGAGCCATTTCTTGTCTCATAGCTATTACTAAATTTAACTGTAGTAGCCCTATAAGTTAAAGCAGAGGTGTTCATTTTAATACATGGAGAAGTCAGGGGATAGAGGTATTTATTCAAATGTCACTGAAGTCCAGTGTCGGGGGCTGGGAGAGAATTCCAGTTCTCCTTACTCCTAGGTCAGCACCTTATCCATTTCCCCGCTATCATTCCTTCTGACGATGAAGGCTATCGGGATGTCAGAGCCATGTGCTTTATCGTGTAGGTCATACATATCTCACAAGGCAGGGCTGCTCCGATATCAGGCCAGAGTTGCCCAAACAGCTCTGTAAAAACGCCTCTCCTTTGGTTTCTTGCTCATTCTCACTAAACCTGGGTGGGGTTGGACTCAGAGAACGTGAGGTTGGGCTCTCACGTTCTCTGGTGGTTGGTGACACGTAACTCAGTTTCCCCAGGATAAAGGTTTGGGTTCACAAAAGCAGATGCTGTTTGAATCAAATTTGATGGCATGCAACGTACAGGAGATCATGCTAGATAACCTAATAATCCACAAAGGCCACGAGCACTCTGAACCTTGACAGAGAGAAATGTGTCAAATCTCAGCTTGTGTTAACTCAGCAGGTATGAACTCAGACCATCGCCTTACCTGTCAAAGACAGGAAGAAGCTCTGTTGCTGACATTCATGCCTGACCCTGAGAAGCTACTTTGCAGCATCAACAAACAAACAATATGCAAGAAAATGTCATTCTTTATACAGCAAAGCATAAAACTACTTACTCTGGAGTTGATGCCAGGGCCACCAAGACCTTTAGTTAGCAGCTACAATACCCAAGCAAACTATAGAAATTCTGCTGAAGAAGCAAGTCTCCAAAATCTTCACCTGGTGTTGTCCAATCTTTGGTTTATAGAGGAAAAAAGGAAGAAGAAGTGGGTATGAAACCAATAGAATCGCCTGATGTATGTGATTGCACAGTTTGCACAGGTCAATGTGAAAACAATCTCAGTGTAATTATCACTGAACAAAAAACAGCTCACCTAAGCTTTTATCTTTTGTTTTCCTCTTATGTTAAATTTCTTACTAGTGTTTCAGTTCCTGCAACGTGGGCTAAGTTCAGTGAAGACAATATCAGGTGCTCTCAACACGCAAGGGCCAACTCTTTCAAGCTCCACAAGGATGCAGAGGTCAGACTGGAGAGCACATTGGAGGAGATGTGGAATCGTTTCATCAGCACCAACTTGGCCTTTAATAACTGCATTGCTGAAGTAGCTGATGCAAAGAACAAACTCCAAGCACAGCTGGCCAAGGTAAGATTCACCGAGAGGTGGCAGCTGCCTGTTATCTTCGTTGTACCTGAGAGGCAGAGAAATCGCCTCCAGTGTTTGTGTCCTTCTTGAGTAAGCACCTCCTCGAAGGATATATGCGCCTTACCTGTCCTCAGGTGGGGCGTCTGCTTCACACACGGCCTGAGACGAGCGCACGCAGAGACAGGCAGACTGACAAGGTTTTACATGGAACCAGGCAACATCTGTCCATAATCACACACTGATGATCTTCATTCGCAGCTGGCCTGTTTAAAGTGGGGAAAGATCTCTTAGATGGTATTTTTTTTCTATTTCAGTTATTGATGATATTCCTTTCCCGTTCCCTGATACCAAAATAGTACAGGAATTACTTTTTTTTAAAAGCGTGAACTAACTTTGGAAAGTGTGCAAATAAAAAGGCCCACAAACAGCCACACATTTAAAGTCTTCTCCTTCCTCTAAAACAGATAGGTTTTTGCACTTTCATTTTGCAGCAGCAAGGGAAGAGCCCTGAATTATCTAAAATTTAGAAGTATTTACATATGGAATGTCATTGGTCTACCTTTGACACCTAAGTTCCAAGTTTTGCTTCCCTTTTGATAAATACATTTCCATATCTTTAACCCGAATTCTGGCCTGGTTGTGGTCAGAAACAGCCTGATATTTTGGAGTGGGTCAGACTGAACTTTTCAAACATTTGTTCTGCCTTTTGCTTCACGTTATAGAGAGCAGAAATGGCACAGGAGGAGACAGACCTCTATTAATCTCTATCAGTATTACCTTTTCAGCAAGTTTTCACTGAAATAAGTGATGTGTTGTATTAGTTGAAATTTAAACCATATATTCTGAAGTTTAACAAGAGCCTTTGTAGTGGCAGATAAAACCTTGTTAAGCTAGCAAGACTCGCTGCGTTACTTTCATGTGACTTCGGTAAGTTCCTCCATTAGGACTCTGTTATGGAGGAGCCTCACCTTCACGCATTTGTTTCAATGCACACTGGGAAACAATAGAGTTTTCCTGCCATTCTGTTTGCCCTAAGTAGTTGAAGACGTGTGCAGTTTATTTTTAGGGGCTCTTAGGAAAGTGCAAACTAACCAGCTAAATATGTATTAGCTCACAGCACATAGATTAATGTGTTTGTTTTCCCCCTGACTATAAAGCATGAAAGATGCTGAATGTGGTTTTTGGTGTGTTTTAGATTGTATATGATCTAGCCAGCTACAGCACTTTATCCCTGAATCAGCCATCCATCGAGGTTTCTCATGGATTTAACTCTATGAACATTGGCTTCACATTTTCCATTGACCTTTTCTAGTGCTTTTAAGTGCCCCTTTTATAAGGGAACTGGCAGCACAGGGTGCACAGACGGAGTCACAAAGTGAGATATCAACATACGAGCAGGGATTTTGTCACCAAGTCCAGCTGACAGTGTGACATAACTGCTGACAACTGGTATACAATGGAAAAAACAATATTTACGTCCCTAGACTATTACACCATTAAACAGCAGTAATATGCTATCTGGAGAAACTTGAGTGATCATATTTGTATAAAGAACAATTAGTTTGTGTGGTACACATGGATAAAAAAGTATCAAATAAGATTGCACTCTGTGAACTAACGCTGCTGTTACTGCTGAGTTACTAGTTAGCACAAACATAGCAGAGATACTTTAGTCCTCACACACTCTGTAGTAATCTAGTTACACAGGAATAACAAAATGCTAGAGGAGAAGAAAGCCACGGGTGCTGGCGAGGAGTAATTCAGGCTGGTCAGTATTGCCAAAGGAAAGGAAAATGAAATAGTTTTCCTGAGCAAAACCATTGGTGGTAAGATGCAGGTGAAGCTATACGGCAGAAGCCATGTTAACTCTGTTGCTCATGACCATACCTCGCACAAGACGAAGGAGAAGGCAAGCAAGGACAGAAGTGAGGAACGGGTGAGTGCTCATTTAACAGGTGTCTGTATGGAAGCATAACAGAGCACCCTTTCTTCTTTCTGTGGGCTTGCAGTATATTCTGTAATAACAGAAGAAAAAAGTATTGCTAGGATATGCTTTAGTAGGACCGCTAATGGCTGTCTCTCCAGTTCTGCCACGCGTCTGTTCTTCTTTTAGGATGGGATTATAGTCAAATGCAGCTACTATAATTCCTGTTCCCTTCACATCTAATAGCAATTAGACATTGCGTGCCACAAGTGCAGTTTTTTTGTGTTTAAAAAAATCCATCAATCTTTCAAAGGCTGTTTTTGCACTGACGTCTCAAGCAATGAATGCCACTTTCAGAGACATCCTTCTTTCTGCCAAATTACTTTCCTAGCTAAGCAGACTAGCTCCATAAAATGAGAGGAAAATAAGCACAGAAAAAATTTGCTATCTTGGAACCAGGAAAAGTTATTAGTTTAATGAGGTTTGGAGCCCATCTTGGAATGAAAAATATTTTTCCGATTTGTGAAACAGCAAAATCTCTTCCAGACAAAAAAAACCCCAACACAAACCTACAGGGAACCTCCTGCAAAAATCAGTACCTTGAAAAAGGAAAGAAACAAAAACTTCATAAAAGAGTAAGTGATCTAAAAATGATCCCACGTTGAAATGGCATGCTTTCTTCTGTTTGCATCACTTGCACAGAAAAGATCATCTGGTTAAAATCACAAATCTAATGCCTCAGCTTGTGGTCCACTGCATGCTATTTAGAATCATAGAGCACCAGGTGGAACAGTTTGTCTTACATTGTAGACTTCATCTGTTGGCCCTGGCAAAATTTAGCTTTCCTTTGGAACTAAGCTTTTTGTAAAAACTCATCCAATTCGATTTAAACTCTGGGGTCAGTACGCTGTTCCAGTGCCTGCCACTGATATTGCGGTGGTGATTATGCTGTGTGCTATGGTTAGCCTTTGCCATATGAGTACTTAAAATGTTTCTCCTGGCCTGACTTTTTTTCATATTTCGTTTATATTGCCTATATGTATAATGGCTTTATGGCACATGTTTAAAGTCCTGACTTTCTGTGCAAGAACGCCATTGCTTCAAACTTGTTTAGGGAAATTCACTACCCGAAGGAACACAGGCATCGCTCTGCAAGCAGCTGCTGGAGCATTCTTGCACTGCTGCACTCAAATGGTCAACGGCCTTTCTCTGCCTGCCTTTCTTTCCCTTGCCTGATGACACTACTGTATCACACGTGAGATTATGTGAGCAGAGTGCTATTTATCCAGGCAAGCTAAGGATTCCACATGCCACTTGCTATCCCAGTTACTTCTGAAGAGCTAGGATTTCCCCCTCAGTAGGCATTTGTGCATATTGTGTCCCACACCTTCTCTTCCGGGTTCTGCTGCCTGCAGCAGCCTCTCACAGGACTGCTGTCAGGAGGAGGTTGCTGGGTCGATAGTCTAGTTCAACAGAAGTTGACAACAGTGATGTTATCAAAGGCTCTGTACGAACAATCTACCGCAGTCCTTCCAGCGCTTCCTTCTCCTCCTAAGCACCACCAAATTTGTGTTTCTCATATAAATGAAATGTAAAGAAAAACAGTGATCCGTTATTATTCTGTTTAGTTTTATTCTAGGATATTGTCTTCCTTGATGTCTAGACAAGTGTGTCCCATATGCCAAAAGATACACAGAATGTACTTGCGTGATGAAGATACCCTGTTTTTACTTCTATCAAGCACTATGCCAGAAGTTTTGCCAAAACCTTCTCCATCAATGACATAATGTCTCCATTTCAGGTTACAAAGTGTACAAGTCTCAGAGGAATAACTGCACAGCAGTCCATCTGGTTTTATAAGCATTTTGTCTGCTTCTAGTACTCCTGGTGGACTTGTACCGCAGTTTATAACATGTTCCTGCACCGTTTACCTTGAGTTACTGAAACACAATTGAATAATAGACTCCAAGAATTTTCCTGTTGTAGCTGACTGAGGTTCTGTCACAGAATTTAACCTAGGTTCACAGTATAGAGTGTTCACACATCTTATTTAGAAGCCCATAAACAAAATACAGTCTTCAGAAAAAGACTTCAGCTAGTTTGCCTTAACAATACACACTGTCCAGTCCAGGTAAGCCAAGAGATGCACCTAAGAACTCTTCCTGGTAGGCATTTGAAAAACAGATTTTTGCTCCTTAAATAACAATTTGCATTTAGTTAGAAGGATGGTTTAGCACCTTACAGATGTCTTGTCTTGGGGCAGATCAGATGTATTTTTACCCTTTATTCTACTTGGAGTTTGGTCTGAATCCCAACACTGAATAGGCTCCAAATTTAGATCAAGTAACCAAGTCAGCACAGGGGAAGTCTCCAAAGAGCACTGGCTGTCAGTGATTCCCACCTGCTCTTCTCCGTTCTCAGTCCAGCTGCTGTCTGCCCTCACTGTTACTTCACCGAAGTATTCTGGAAACTGTCTGAGTTCTCATCACTTCAGATTTTCATTGTCTGCTACTTGGCTTTTCCTGCCTGCCTCTTCTGGGGAAGCTGGCTGGTGAGGCTGACAATCCCAGTCCATCAAAAGTCTGGGAAGAGATTTGCATGGGGGAACAGTGAAAAAGGATTAAATTGCTTTTTTATAATTTTGAACAGGAAACTATCAAATGCAGAAGGGAAACGCTGTCCTTAAAAACCTGTTTTATGCGTGTCCCTGTCCTGTTCATTGTAGAGCTTCTATGTAAAATTATTCCCTGCCCACTTTTTCTTGATTTTCTTCTAGAGGACTAAGACAATTTGCCATCTTTACAGTGGCAATCAAACTGAGTACGTGGGAGCAGGGTGTGGTGTAAAGTATTTCCTGCTGCAAGCCCAAATCCCAGAAGTCATCACAGCTGCAACAATGATTAAAGGACTGGAAAGCAAGCAACTGATAGAATAAGTTCCTCAACTTTCTCTTTAGCGGGCTGCAAAAGGTGATGTTAGTAGCACTAGATAACACTGCTTTATTTACTTTATCCAAATAACGGTTGGGGTAGGGGCAGAGAACTTGCTAAACCCACAAGTATCTACACAGAATAAA